TATCCAGAGTCCACCAAATATCTGCCAAAATGGGTTGCTAAACACAATTTCACAGGACAACTTAAACAACCCAATATAGGAGCGTTGAGACACTCAATAAAAACCAAATGCAAAAATGATCCTAAACAGATGAAAAAGGAAGGTTTTGAGCACACGAGGTGTGGCTGCAAGAAGCCAGAGCAAGAGATAAAGGTCAGAGTAAAGTAGAAAAAAGAAAAGTAGCAGAACAACAGAAGGAGCAGGAAGATAAGGCGAGTGAAGAAAAAGGAAGAGAGCAAGTACGACCGAAACAGCAAATGTTTAACAGGCAGGAAGATAATGAAATAGTGGTCTCCCCCTACAGAGTTTTAATCAAACAAGTTCACACTCCCCCATACCTTGATGAGGAAAAACAGGAAATAGCAGAACCGAGTGCACCTCCCCCTTATAAAGACATGCCAAGGATTACTAGAAGCCATGGGGAAGAACATAAATGGTCTAAAAAATTGGGGAAAGTATTTTCTCCCACCCTCCCTAAACTTTTGACTAACAATGAACGTGAACTTGAGATCTGTCCACTGATAGCACTCCCCCACCCTATGATGGACCAAGACAATGGTGCAGGAGGAAGGTATCCAGATCAGGTATTAGTATACCGAACATGGACCCAAGAGGATGTTAAAAAAGCATGTGAAGGCATACCACCTCCCAAAGAAGATGTTGAGCAATGCATTCAAGGCGTAGACAATTTAAGAGCCTCTTATCACCTAAATGGAGTAGAGTTGCAGCAGGTATGGATGTGTATCATGGGAGCCACCTGGCACCTGGTTAGAGGCGATTATGATCCAAACGACACCCAAAACCCTCCTACACCTCTGGCCCCAAATAGCACTATGTTAAATCATAGAGCCCAAGCACTGAACGACCGTGTCAGACAAAGATATCGACAGCGASCAGACTATACTGAAATAGGACGCTGCAGACAAAAAGATGACGAACCTTTTGATGACTATAGAGTCAGAATGACTAAAGTTTTCAGAGCCCACAGTGGACTAACGGACGATGGTCAGGAGAATGGCCCATACCAACAGCAGTTAAAAAACGCATTACATGCAGGGTCAACCTCACCAATACACCACTGGGTATCTAAACATTATATAGGACTCCCATATGGGACACTGTCAGATTACTTAACACATGCTGTTCATGCTGAGAGAGTAACAAAAATTAAAAAGAGCTCCAAATCAACCGAGAAAGCAACCTTCTGGGTTGAAGAGGATGAACACACTGTTTACTGGCAGAACCCACAAWTTAGAGGAAGAGGTAGAGGAAGAAGCAGAGGAAGAGGGAGAGGAGGACCCTCTAGGGGCAGGGGAAATCCCAGGGCCTGCTGGTCCTGCGGAAAAGAGGGACACATGGCTAGAGATCGTAGAAGCAATCCTCACAAGAACCCCTCCAGTTCAGCGTGACTAGAACCAGATTATTCTGAAGAAAAAGAGAGCGAGGCGGAGATAGAAGTGATGAACCTGGAAGACATTTTATTTGAAGAAAAAGTAAGACCTGAAGTGACATTAAAAGTAAATGGACAGGATGTAGTGTTCTTGTGTGATAGTGGAGCTTGTAGAACCACACTCAAACAACCAATAATGGGGGTACAGCAGAGTAAAACCTCCATTTTAGTAAGATCAGCACAGGGAAATTTGCGCAAAGTTCCAGAATCTTGCCCCATCTGGATAAGAGATCCATGTGGAAAGTCGTGTCAAATGTCCATTCTTATGATGCCCAGTTGTCCAGTTAATCTGTTAGGGCGAGATGGACTTGTGTCTGTCCAGTGTGTCCTGGGTCTTCCTTGGGGTCTCCTCCCGGTTGGACATGCCTGAAGCACCTCCTTGAGGAGGCGCCCAGGAAACATCCTTACTAGATGCCCAAACCACCTCAACTGGCTGCTCTCGATGTGGAGGAGCAGTGGCTCTACTTTGAGTCTCTCCAGGATAACTGAACTTCTTACCTTTTCTCTAAGGGAGAGTCTACCCTGCAGAGAAAACTCACTTCAACTGCTTGTATCTGCAATCATTCTTTCGGTCACTGCCCAAAGTTCATGACCATGGGTGATGGTAGGAACGTAGACTGCTCGGTAAACAGAGAGCTTTGCCTTACAGCTTAGCTCCCTCTTCACCACAACAGACCGGTACAGAGTCCGCAAAACAGTGGAAGCTGCACCGATCCATCTATCAATCTCACGCTCCATTCTTCCCTCACTCGTGAACAAGAAGACCCCAAGATAATTGAACTCCTTCACTTGAGACAGAACTTCACCCCCAACCCAGAGAGAGCAATCCACCCTTTTCCGACTGAGGACCATGGACTCAGATTTGGAGGTGCTGATCCTCATCCCAGCCGCGTCACACTCAGCTGCGAACCGCTCTAGTGAGAGCTGAAGATCCTGGCCCGATGACGCCAACTGAACCACATCATCTGCAAACAGCAGAGATYAAATCCTGAGGTCACCGAACCGGAATCCCTCCACCCCCTGGCTGCACCGAGAAATTCTGTCCATATATGTTATGAACAGAATCAGTGACAATGAGCAGCCCTAGCAGAGTCCATCTCCCACTCTGAAGGGGTCTGACTTACTACCGGCAATGTGAACCAAACTCTCGCACCGCTTGTATAGAGACTGAATGGTCCATAACAACGGACCCACAATCCCACACTTGCGTAGCACCACCCACAGTGTACCTCAAGGAACATGGTCAAATGCCTTCTCAAAGTCCAAAAAACATGTAGACTGGATTAGCAAACTCCCATGACCCCTCAAGGAGCCTAGTGAGAGTAAAGAGTTGGTCCAGTGTTCCACGGCCAGGACGGAACCCACATTGTTCCTCCAAAATCGGAGGTTCYACTATCGATCGGACTCTCTTCTGCAGTACCCCTGAAAAGACCTTGCCGGGGAGGCTAAGGAGAGTGATATGCCTGTAATTGGAGCACATCAACTGGACCCCCTTTTTAAAGAGAGGAACCACCACCCCAGTCTGCCAATCCAGTGGCACTGCCCCCCATGTCCATGCGATGTTGCAAAGGCGTGTCAACCAGGACAGCCCCACAACATCCAGAGCCTTGAGGAAATCAGGGCGGATCTCATCCACCCCTGGAGCCCTGCCGCCATGGAGCTTTTTATCTACCTCAGCGACCTCAGCTCCAGGTGTGGACAGACCAGCCCCAAAGTCCTCAGACTCTGCTTCCTCCATAGAAAATGTGCCGGTGAGATTGAGAAGGTCTGAGAAGTATTCCTTCCACCTGCCGATGACATCCCTGGTTGAGGTCAACAGCACCCCACCTTCAGTGAGCACAGTGTTAGTGAAGAGCCGCTTCCCACGCCTCAGCCGCCGGATGGTTTGCCAGAATTTCCTCAGAGCTGATCAAGAGTCTTTGTCCAAGGCCTCACCGAACTCCTCCCACATCCGATTAATTGCAAGCCTTTTAATCTGTAAAAGTATATCTTTTTTTGCATGTTTTTCTCATTGTTTTACTTACCAGTATTTATCATGTAATTGTTACTCCTAAAGAATCATGTCCCATAATAAACAGCACCCAAGTTCAAGCAATACAATAACCCAAAAAACCCACAAATTTGTTTTGGATCAAATTTGTATCTTAAAATCATTTCCTGTTCACACAAGAGAAACAAAATTCAAGTTTAAGGCTGTATTGTAAGGCTGTAAAAAAACAAACTAAAATTGCTCAACAAATTTGAAACGAGATGCAGAGTGGGGGCAACAAAATACAAAGTGAACCTCCCGTTTAAACATAGTGGTCTGTAGGAAATCGGCTCCTTTTTAGCTCACTGTTAACTTTTTACTTCCCTTCTACAGAGCGGTGAAAGAAGACCAGACTCTGCAGGGGCCACAGTTGAACACTTTTTATTTGAAACACAAAGCTTGACACTGCATTAAAATGTGGACCAGAAAAAAACGTATGAACACAAGCTTTTTATACCATTGCACTTTGGAAGTGGACAGCCCTGCACTTTACTCCCGTATGCTTTTGTTATTAGATAAATAAACTGAGCAGAAAACAGAACTTCAAGCATTTTAGTAAAATTGCTAAACTGAAGAGTGAAATGCTTGATATCATTTTCTCTCTCTCTCTCTCTCTCTCTCTCTCTCTCTCTCTCTCTCTCTCTCTCTCTCT